TCAGGAATTTCGTTAATATGCAAAATTTATATAGGAACTTGCTCAAGTTTAGGGCCAGTGGTTTGCACTCTGTTTCATTTGGCCCATGCAAGGTCCATTAGGAAAAGATAACTGGAGTGAGGGGAAGGAGATGACCATCTTCAAAGAGATCAAAATGATTCAAGAGAAACTCCTCCTCCCACCTCAAACCCTCCCAATCTGTAGCCAATTAAAACAACTGATTAGACCAGAGGTCAGCAAACTGTGGCCTATAGGCTAAATCTGGCCTGCTGCCTGCTTTTGTCTTGTCTTGGACCTAAGATGGTTTTTGCACTTTGGAAAGTCTTGTTTTATTTTCAAATGTAAAAACCATTCTTAGTTCACAGCACTATAGTTTGTTGACCCCTGGAACAGACTATCTGATCCTTGGACAAAAAAAGTCTGTATTGCTTTTTGGATTACAATTTGGATGACTTCACTGATCCATTCATTTTATTATGCACTGTGCTAGGTGCGAGAGATACAAGATAGGTAAAAGACAATCCCTGCCCTCTAGGAGCTCGTAGTCTAATAAGAGAGACCACAGGCAAACAATTATGTACAAACAAGCTGTGTACAGGATAAATTGGAAATAATCCAAAGAGTTGGAAACTCAGGCAGTGCTTATGAAGAATGGAGGATCCGCATCTAGAACAAAATCAAAGAAAAACACAAATTTTGCTCCACAAATTATTCATCAAAAAATCCTGAGAAGTGGAACTAAGTCAAGGAACTTTTCTGCAGGTAAAATATCCAAGGGACGCTGGTTGTGTTAGGGATTCAGGTGCCTGGAAAATTTTTTTCTACCTGACACCAAGAAAATGAATCAAGGTCCCAGCCAGAAAAAGATCTGCTTGCTTTGTATGTTTTTGTTTGCATGCTGACTCTCCTAATAGATGGTAAGCTTTCTTGATGGCAGGGACTATTTTTTTTGCCTCTTTCTGTATCCCCAGCACTTGGCAAATAGTAAGTGCTTAGTAAATGTAGTAGCAAAGGAAGGGAAAGAACCTGGGCATAGGAGCAGGTTGTATTTGCATACGAGACCAAGTGCTATAGAAGGGAAGTGAAAATAGGAACCATCTAGAAGACGCTGTTTAAATATTTTAAGCTTATCCCAAACTAAAAAAGCAAAATTGCATACTTATTACTTAGAGTACCCTTGTGTGGTTTGCAGTCCCCTGTCTCCCTTCTCCTTCTATGATTCCTATAGTTGTCTGTTTGATTGACCTCTTGGCCAAAGCACCTGCTAGACTAGAGAACAGTGTGGGAAGCTAGCACTGGCGAAAACCAAAATACTGAGACTCCAACTGTTTTGATATACAGAATAACAGTAAAGAATTTTGGCAAGAGAATCTGAGCAGGTGGCCCATTAGGGGAACTTTGTGATTAGGGACTGGCTGACCATTACATCCAATAGATTAGAAACTCTTTGGGAGCACAGACTGCCTTATCTTTTCCTTTGTATCCTTAGCACCTATCGCAGCACACAATAAATGCTTTGTGAAAGAATGGATAAATGAGGTCCTCCAAGTGGTGGAAGATGGTATCCAAAAACCAGTTGCAGGGGGTCAGTGCCTGGCACATAGCAGATACTTAATAAATGTTTATTTAAGACTAACTTCTAGCTAAATCTCAGTTTTTTGAATCAATAGCACTAATAAAAGAAGTCCCAATTTTTTTTTAACAACTTAATTCCCTGGCACCATGAACCTATATGGATGACGCATAGCTTGGTTCTGCCAGGCATATTAGCATATTCAGCCTTCTGTTGGTGCTGGGTCATGGGTGGCCTCCAGCCAGGCCAAGACTGGGAGCTGGGCCAAAGATAAATGGTCAACAGAGCTCTGAAGGTGAATCAGAGGTTAGAGTCCAATGAGCGAAGGAAGAACTCCAGGACATGAGCAAGATTCTAAATCCCAAGATGGGTTTTAAACCAGATAGATAGAGGTCACAGGCAGAGTTAAAGCAATGAAGTGTAGAGCCTGAGATAGTCCAGAGTTCTAATTAGTCAAGAGGTCAAAGGTTACAGAATACCTGTATAAATCAGGAATCAAGGTTTAAGTCGGGGGGGGGGAACCCAGCTTAGAAATGGATGTTGAGTGGGAAACTGGGAATAGTATCATCTGAACTTTCATAGGCCTGTTAGTACCCACAACCACACAATCTGGGGTCTGTCCCCTTGGATCTCTGCTCTAGTTTAGGTCCCAGTACACAGCTAGAAGTTTGGCTAGTGGTCCAGCCAAATGGGCCTTGCTGTTCTTTCACACATGACCAATTCCCTCTCCCATCTCTGCCTTGCAAAGGTTGACCTCCATACCTGGGACCTGGAATGTATTCTTCATTCAACTTTGTCTCTTATAATTACTAATTTCCTTCAAATCTCAAGTTTGAGACCTTTCATGAACCAACCCCCTCCCCCACCTCCTACCACTTTCTCCCTAATTACTTTGTATTTTTGTACTTGTATGTTTTTGTTTTGTACGTACTTAATGTTCACATTGTCTTCCCTAAGACTCCCTCTTTATGTTTTATCCTATTTTCTCTGCTCTTTTTGCCTTACCTCATTCTTTCATTCTTAGTCCATTGTCATTATTAAAGAAGTAGACTTTCTGTGCACATCAGGTCATCTCACCATCTTGCCATCAACCATCCCCTTTACCTGTTAACATTTAAGCTACAACCATGTTTTCCTTCCCTTACGTATAAAGTGATTGACGCTAGCGTTCTGAACCCATTACTGCTGCCCTCAGATGAATTCATTCCTCCGAGTTTTTTCTTTTTGCCCTCTGCTACAGCTAGATCATCTGTTTCTCAGAAAACTACTGTTACTGCTTATTAACGTCTCTAGCAAGCCTAGATTCTCACTGTCTGGCACAGGAAAATGAGAGGATCTCTGAGTTGGAATGGAACCATCCAGCCAAAACCCATACACTTAAATATCTACCAAAGTGGATAACACTGCTTCCACATTCCACCAACGTGACAGCATCTTTTGCCTCCGTTGAGAGGGAAAGCACTCCCTCCTGAAGAATCCCATTCCCATTTCAAGCAAATCTACCTGTGACTTCCAACCATTGCTCCTTTTGTCTTCTACGATATCAAAATTTAGTTCCTTGATCTAGTGTTTCTTGTCCAAGTGGAAGAGAGAGTGACATGTTTTCTTTGCAACTTGGGCACTCTTTTTTTCATAGTGCATGCCGTGATACAGATTCCGGGGTCTTGGCTTGATAACGGATAACAAGTCATGCACTTAGCTCCTGCTATTACTTTTAAAGCTTATCCTTTTATGGATTTGGCCTTCTGGTTGTGGTATTCTTCCAGAGGGTAGACCATTAGGTCCTTTAACTTTGATTTGCTACATTATAGTGCAGGCGGAAAATGTCTGTTGTAACTGTTTTGTCTGATAGTGCATTTGGATGGACAAGCAATGATTGCAATATGATGCCATTGTTTCCATTGAACTTGGGGTTCAGTTTCTGCCGCCTCTCTGCTAGACCTGTGATCTCCTTCTTTCCAGAAGTTATGCAAAGAATTTAGGTAATTCCAGGTGAGAGTAATGGCCTATGGAAGTGAAGGGAAGGTAACAAGCATTTATTAAGTACCACTATGTGCAAGGTACTATGCTAATCTCTTTACAAATATTACCTCTTTTGATCCTCACAACAACCATGGGAGGTGGGCACTACTGTGATCTCCATTTTACAGTTGAGGGAAGTGAGGCAAACCGAAGTCAAGTGACTTGCCCAGTACAAACAACTGAGAGTATCTGAGGCCAAATTTGAACTGAGGTCTTCCTGACTCTAGCCCCAGTGCTAAACCTTCCCCTCTTCTAGACTTCCGTATTTCCACCAAAGGCATTACTGCCCTTCTAGTGTCTGAGGTTTGTAATTTCGGTGTTATCCTGGAACCTTCACTTTCCTAATCCCACTTATCCAATCAGTTGCCAAGTCTTGCCTTTTCTACCTCCGCATCTAATGGTCACCATGTTTCAAGTCTCTCATCACTCTAGTCCATGCTATACAAAATAATTTTCACTAAGCAGGGGCAGATAGGTGGCACAGTGTATAAAGCGCTGAGCCTAGAATCAAGAAGACCTGAGTTCAAATTCAGTATCAGACACTTACTAGCTGTGTGTCCCTGGGCAAGTCGCTTTACCTCTGCTTATTTCAATTTCTTCAACTGTAAAATGGGAATCATAATAATCCCTACTCCTGGGGTTGTTGTGAAGATGAGATGAGTAGAATTTGGAAAGTGCTTAGCACAGTGTCTTGCACATTGTAGGGGCTATATAAATGTTATTATCATTATTAAATGCAGATCTAACCATGTGACTCCCTTCCTCAAACCACTCCAATGGCTTTCCATTGCTTCTGATAAAATATAAATTCTTTTTTGCTTTTAAAGTCTTATATAACCTGGGCCCAACTTACTTTTCTAGCTTTATTGGGCATCATTCTTCCTCCCACATTCTGTAATTTAGCTACACATGCCTTCCCCTTGTTCCTCACACATGACATATTTATAAAATTCTACTCTTCCTTTAAGATACAGCTCAGGCACCATCTTTTTTTGCATGAAGCATCTTCAGTTCTCCCCAAATGCTCATGATCTCTTTCCCAAACTACTTAATATTTAACTACTTTGTATATGTTTGTATTTATCAACTGTATATTTATGCTGTGTGTTCTTTTTACATGTACTTGTTTTCTCCCCATTAGAATATAAGCTCCTTAAGAGTAGAAATTGTTTCATTGTTTTGTATTTTATTTCCTAACTCGTGTGTATCTTAGATTCTAGGACATAATAGGAATCTAGCACACAATATGTGCTTAATATATGCTTGTTGACTGATTACTTAATGCCATTTTAAGAAACTGAACTTTGGCTCATATACATATATATATGTGTGTGTGTATATGTGTGTGTGTGTGTGTGTGTGTGTGTGTATACTTATGAATAGGTTGTTTTGTTTTTACTTTCAGGTGATTTGGCGATTCTTGAAGTCCACCACAACCTTTTAAGTCAGGCCTGATCTGCGAAATGGAATAAGGCTGAAAAATTATCCACTTCTTTCCTCCTGTGTGAAATTGAGACTAGATTGGGATGGTCTTGGGTGCTTGTGGCTAGATTCTCACTGCAGCCATGAGTTCAGAGGAAAAGGGCATATCCCCTGCTCACAGAACCTCCACTCCAACCCATAGAAGTGCCTCCTCTTCATCGTCCTCCCAAAGGGAAAGTAGGCAGGTAAGAGGACAATCTGAGACACTCTTTGTTTTTGTATGTATGCTAATATAGTGCTAATTTTCTGTACGATAAACTTGATAGTTTTTACATAAGACTCAAGTGGATTCTGGGAAAACTCCTCATCTTGGTGCTTTCTGTTTCTCTGCATCCTGGACCATGTGCTTGATATCTCTTTTGCTCAAATAACTACTTTCTTTTTCTTTATTCTTGTAGCTGCAGCTGACATTCCATAGGAAAACTCATTGTTTTTCAGATGCCCTTTGACCATAGCATAGATGACAAGGACTCACCACATTTACATCTTCTGAAGTGTTTTTTCTCCTATTTCAGAACCTGGGCTAAAGGAGGGAGATGGACAGTGGTGAGGAAGTGTGGAAGCCGTGATACATTTAGATGTATCAAACACTGGGAATCTGAAGGTTGTAGAAGGGGCAAAACTTTACAGTATTGTTATCATTTTCTTCACTTGTAGAAAAAGGAGTGAAAGATTTTCTATGCCAGTAAGGAACATTCTCCCCCCAGGGTGTACAGCCCCGCACATACTGACTTCTGTTTAATATTTGGTTGATCTTAGTGATGATAAAAGTTCCCATATTAAGATAAGAGTCTAAGTGTGGTATCAGGAATTCAAAGCAACCAAACTTAAGGCAAATTAGTGAAGGTTCGTCCAGGTGTCTGTCATTGCCTGGTCCTGGGAGGAAAAGGTTGTAGTCTCATTTAGTCAGTTGTACAAGATTGTTTATTCGTAGGACTACTTCACTGCTATGTATATGGAAGGCATTTAAGCAAAATGTGTGGCCTTTTGCTCCAGGAATGTCGTTTGCCCAAATGGACTTGTTTTAGACCAGAGAATATAATTTTTGATTATTGGTGGGGTTTTTTTTTAGTATAAAACCATTTTATATAAGTGACTTTGTATTTTATCTGAAAATTGTTTTTCAGTAAAATACACATTTTATGTACTATTTTTATTTTAAAAATTTTATATTAGTTTATTGAAACTTAACATTGAACAATGATACAAACAGTTAAACTTGTCTAATTAACTACTTATATTTAAATTAATTTCAGTTCATCAAGGATCATCACTTTTTTTCAGTCTCTCCTTCCAAGTCCTCATTACATTTTTTTCCTGTTATACAAGGCAAGTAGACATGATGTAAGGGATACAGTGTTAGATTTGGAGTCAGGAAGATCTGAATTGAAATCCTGCCTCAGACATTTACTAGTTGTGTGACCCTGAGCAACTCAGCCAGTTTCCTCATGTGTAAAATGAAAACAATAACAGTATCTACTTCACAGGTTTGTTGTAAGGATGAAATGAAATAATGTGTACAAAGTACTTTGTGAACCTTGTAGCACAATGTAAATATTAGCTATTGGTATGTTCAGAATTAGATTTGTGTATGCACTGTTTCCCCTTTCATAAACTTAAAATGTATACCAGTTCCCATTGACATTCTTGTAGGTCTTCCTATTTTAGGTAGCAAGATCGTAATACGCTAAATTGTAAGGCAGTAGTTACTAACAGACAACCCAAAGTATGAATGTGTATCTTGGTCTAGCCAAATTTGGACCATCCAAGAATCCTTCTAGAGAATAGAATTTTTGAGGAGCTCATAGTACCAAAATGGAACCATGCACGCACGCGCACACACACACACACACACACACACACACACACACACACACACACCCATCACATTGCTAGGACCCAGGTATCTCCAATTCCTTTTATCATCTGAACTGGACCGTGGAGAGTTCCATTAACTGTTCGCTCAAAGTCCAAATTAGTAAGTTTGATGCCAAGAATTAATGCTAGGATGATGTCACACTATCTGTTGCTGTCATGAGCTGGACTTTGGTGTTTTATCATTATTGACCTCTGTTGTAGGATACTAAAGGAATAGCTAAATTCTGTTTAGCAAAGACAGATTTAAAATACACTAAATATACCAGGACGAATGCTTGGATTTGTTTGTTACTTTGCTTATGTCAATTCGAAGTAATGGAATGGTACTCTTAACTTAAAAATTACCAAAGAAAACCTCATCATATGCAGTCCTTTACATTCCTGGATGGTGAATTAACCTCTCCTTCTTTCTGGCCACTTATTTTCATGTATTGGAGCTTTCCATCTCCCCATCTGAAGACACTATATGTTTGGGGAAATAAAATAAGGTGAAAACTTTGGTGTTAGGGACAGCATTATGCCTTCAGTAACTGTGAAAGGGAAGGGATCAAGGAAACTCTGGGGAGATGTGTTCCCACCAATAGAACCCTCCCTCTCTAGTTCTGTCAGTGGCACCTAATAAGGAAAGGAGAAATAGGGAGGAAAGAACTAGAAAGGAATTATAGTGGTTTATTGATTGATTCCTGCCCCAAATTTGCAGGACATTTTGATAAAGTGTCTTCCAATCTATTTTAGTCTGTCAGTGACTAATTAATCTTTCTAAATTATGGTTTTTCTCAAGTCAGCCCTTTGCTCAGTAGACTTAAATAGTTCCCTATAACCCATAGAATAAAGTCCATGTTCCTTAGCTTGATATCCAAAGTCTTCTACAGTCTGTCCCAAACTGACCATCCTTTTATACCATTAATTTCTTCTGCTTTCTTTCCCGGGAAATACCCCATACTTCATCATCTTTTGGCTTTTACTAATTGTTCTCCCCTTGCACAGAATGCTGTACTTTCTCCTCAGTGCTTAATTCCTACCTGTCTTTCAAGGAAGCCTTCACTGACATTCCCAGACTGTATTGATCCTGTTCGTTTTCAGAACACCTTTGCGATACTACCTGTACCAAAAAAATAAAAAGATAACATAACCAGGACGAATGCTTCACAACATAAGATACTCTATAATACTAGTTTTAGAGATAGGCATAGGAACTAGACCTTTGAGTCCATTGGCATAAGGAAGTGGCAGGTGAGAAATTACTTTTGCCAATGCAGCTTAGTGTTTTCTCTGCAACTTCCAGTCTTATGAAAATTGCCTAGAGAGAACACTGAGAGGTTAAGTGATTTGCCCAGTGTCACTCAGCCAGCACATGTCCAAGGAGAACATAAATCTTTGTTTGTCTGTTGTGGAGGCTGGCTCTGTAGCCACTACACCAAGCTGCTTCTCTACCATGTGGGCTTGTGTGGTAAAGCAAATGATTGGAAATCAATCAAACTTTAAATGGGTAAGAATAATAAATAGATAAATAATAGATATGGATAAGGATAATTAAGAAGAATAAATCAACATTTATGTGATATCTTATTTTGCAAAACACGGGTGTTATTTTTTTATTTGAACCACACAACAGCCCTGTGAGACAGTTACTACAGGTATTATATGTTTTTCAGATGGGGAAACTGAGGCTCAGAGAAGGTAAGCAATTTGCCCAGGATCATACAGATAGCAATAGTCAGAGTCTTCCTGATTCTGAGCAAAGCAGTTCCATGTACTGCTTCTCATGGTGTGTTTCTTCTCCCCAACTAGATTATAAACTCCTTGAAGACAGAGATCATGCCATATAATTCAGTGTGCTCTCACTAGCTCAGTGCCTTATTCACAACAAATGCTCAACAAATATTTTGATTACTGTCCCAAAGTTAGAAGGCATGTTGACCTGCATATTGGTCAAGTTTTTATTGAAGAATTTATTGTTCTTCCTGACACAATTTCATATGGCCCAATTAATGAAAGATGTTAATGAAAAAAATAAGGATGCAGGGCTCTTTCTATTGCTTTTTTTTCCTTGCAATTGAGGAGACTAAAAATTGTTTTCCAGGATGTGCTCTATTTAGTATTTGCCAAGTTGAATACATTAGCAATTATCATTTGCATTTAATTCAAGTCCAAAATGTCTTTTTATTTTTTTCCCAGCAGCTCTCAAATGAGGCTTTTCCTATAAATCAACTATTACTCATCAGCTACAAGAAACATACTTGTTGAAATTTCAAATAGGAAAGGAAGGGACTGAGTAGACATCTGCTTAGGCTATTCTTCCACAAATGAAGCAGTAAACAAACGTTATTATTACTGAAACTATCCTAGGTGCTACCATAATTGATAATCTCTTGCCAAGAGATGAAAAGTGAGAATGTTGACTGTGGCAATTTTTGTGGCATCTTGGGTACTCTTCCACTGGGTTGTAGCAACATCTTGGCCCCAGTCCTTTTGGCAGGGACACAAATGATGTGTCATAATGTGGCCATGTGATTTCAATGTTAATACAAAATTGAAAGCTATCAACAAATTCTACTAATATGGTAGTGGGCTTTTCAATGATAGGCCAAGAAATGGGAAAGCATAATAGCTGATCATTGCTTAAAGGCCAAAATTCTGAAGAATATTAAATTACTTGTTTCTCTATGAAATTTATAGTGTTGAAATTGTAAGCATATTGCAGATGATAACTGGGTCTCATTGCATTGGCCCATTATTTTTGTTGAGTAAATAGATGTAGAGGTTAAGTAAGTTTCTTAATACTTATTACTTTGTAACTAAATTTATATAACACTTTAAAACCTGCAGTGGTTCTTAAATGTATTATCTCTTTTGAGCCTCACGATAACTCTGTGAGGTCAATCTAGAAATACATTCACATACTGGACATATATGTACATATATCTACATACATACAGATGTGCATATGTGTATGTTTCTCATTGGGTGGGAACAACCTATATTCAAGATTCTTTTATATTTGTGATGATATAGATGGAGAGGTAAATGTTTTAGACTACTCTAGAGGAGACATTTTAGGTACTAAGGATGAGGCAGTCAATGAGAATGAGAAGGAGGGAACCTAGTGACTGACTAATGGGCAAGGGGTGAGGAGTAGGAAGAGTTCTGAAGAGTTAACAGGTTTGAAGATTTGTAGGGAAAACACTAGTATCAGTAACATACTTAGATAGGGAAGCAAGCTGGTTCAGTGTGAAAAATGAAGCTTTCCATTTCAGAGATATGAAGTCTGTGTTTAAGTACATGAAACATTGAAAATTAGGGGCTG